TTTTATTTATTTATTCATGAGAGACAGAGAGAGAGAGAGAGAGAGAGAGAGAGAGAGAGAGAGAGAGAGAGAGAGGCAGAGGCAGAGGGAGAAGGCTCCCAAGGAGCAGGGAGCCCGATGCGGGACTCGATCCCAGGACTCCAGGATCATGACCTGAGCCGAAGGCAGTCACTTAACCAACTGAGCCACCCAGGCGCCCTATCCTGGGAGTTCTAAGGTTGCTTAGGGTCAGCTACATTCATGAGAAAATATTAACTGAATGTGGTAATGACTATAATTTCAATTTACGTCATGGAAATTAAAGGAAAGGGGGCAAAGGAAAGAGAACAGAGTCTCTTCTGGGGAAGGAGCTGAAGTGGAGATGAAGGGGCCACTAAGGAGTGGCTGGGAGAGAAAAGGTATAAGGAAGACTGCACCTGAGCCACTTCCACCACCATAGTTTCGTACTTTTTTGCTTCCAAATATTGTCTGGCTTTCCAGTGTGACAACATGAAAACAGATAATGGAAAAAATATACTTAAAAAATAAAGCTCAGGGAGGAAACTTCCCTGACCCCCTCTATTTTTCCTGCCCCAACCCAAGTGCTTTTTAGTGACACTCATGCTCAAATATAATTAATATGGAGAGAGAAAATTCTGCCAGAAGAATTTCTTCTTGGATAGGTTCTATAGCTGGTTTGAACAAAAGGGATACCACAGACAGAAAATGGAGAAGAAAGCGAGGTTAACCGTAGCCTCTCCCTTGGAGATAAGGTTTAAATCAGGAGTTGGCTGTAACCCAGAATGCTAGGTTCAGAAAATGAAGTCTGACTGGACTTACGAGTAAAGGTGAGAGGAGTACAGCTGCCTTCTGGCTGGGATTTTTTAGAAAAGGAATCGAAAGCCAAGGAACTCACGGAGATGTATGTATTTGCCAGCTGTGCCCATCCAAACAAGTCCACGAGTCTGTACAGGCTGGCAAGCTTACAGCGGGTAAGCTTTTCTCCCTTCACGTATGAGGCTGTATCTGCCCCAGGAAGGTCACTGATAGGTGTGACCATGCCGAGACCTAAAAGGAAAAGTTGTGGAGAGAGATTCACGTCAAGGAACGCGGTACCTGGAAGCAGCCTGAGTCTGCGAGTGCTCCAGCCTTGTAAATAATGATGTGAAACTTCTCAGCCCACACAACGTTCCTTAGCTTATCTTCCTTCACATGAGTACCCGGAGAGCAAAAATGCGCATCAGCAATCTTCGCTATTTCGTCTAGTACTGGACTTGTGAGGGAGGGACTTGGTAGGAAAATGGTCACATGATCCTAATGGCCAAGGTGTTATCAATACTGACATTATTGCTAATTTTATGATGAAAAGATCTCAACAGAAAGCCACTTTTCTAACAGTCCTTTTGATATTCAAAAAAAAATTATTTAAGATAGAGAAGAATGCATTCAAACTGGTCTGCCTTTAGCCATCACTAAGCAACAAAACCTAGTCTTGGGCTTTCGTGACCCAACCGCTAACTTCAACTGTGACCATGTTCCACTTTCTCACATTTACCACCTCTTCCTTGGAATTCTTCTGCAGGCCTGTGTGACACAGCCTGGACCTCCCATTCCCCTTTCATCTGTTGCTTCCTTCTCCTCCAACCAGCTCTCCTCCCTTCTGCCCTCTGTGGCTCCTTCCCAAAGCTCAGTCCCCCACTATGCTCCCCTCTCATTTTACTTTTCCCCAGGAAAACACTACAGACTCTTGAATTTTCATTGTCACTTCTGTGTGGAAGACACCCTAATCTTTACCTGTGACTAGGGCCTCCTGCCCACCCTCCAGCCTGCTGCTTCTAACGGCCTGCAACGCAACAACATACAGATTAAAAAGGTCTAAAAGCAATTTTATCTCCCTGCTTTTTCTGACCTTCTCACTCCTCCTCAGTCTTCTGATGTGCTGGTACTACAATTCCCACAGTCTCACACAGGAAGTAACCTTCCCTGGGCCACCAAACGTAATTCATCACCATGTTCCGTCATCCTTTGCCTTCCAGGTTTCCTCATCTTCCATCCCTGAGTTCGCCTCACATGTAATGCTTTCAATAGGCCGCCTCATTTTGTCCTTGCCTGTAGCCCCTCTCTTTGTAAATCCATTCTATATAAAGTCATCTTTTGCCTCACTACTCCCCTGCTCAAAGTTTTGCAAAAGCCCAACGTGAAGGCCTACAAGGGCCCAGGAGATTCACGTAAGGGCCGAAACTGGGCCTGCTGCAACTTGTAGGCACTAGAGAGGGCACAAGCCTGGGCTGAAGGGGCAGCTGACGCTCTGCGATCGGCTGCTACCATGTGAGAGTCGGAGGTCGGGGCGAACATTTCAACAGAAGTCTCAAGTCAACACTCGAATGTGAGAGCTTCTCAAATGTTCTGAACTAATTCAAAGAGTTTCAATATGTAAGCCATACATTCAAAACAGTATAATTTTTAACAAAATTTCAGAGGCAGCTGTGAATTGATCTCTCACTCTCCCTGCCAATGTTAACTTCTACTTTCCACAACACAACATAAATTTTCCAGCCAAACTGGCTGATTTCTAGTCCCTGACCTCTGAACCATGGAACACAAATCTCCTACTGCCATGCCTTTGTATAATCCAGCCAGCAACTTTGGCAGCTCAGCTCCTCTTTCCTGCTATGATATCTAGGACACTCACAGGATAGCTCCTCTTATTATTCCGGTCTTCCCCGACCTGTCTTCCTCTTCCAATTTTCGAAATTTTCTCTTCAGACTCTTTTCTTTCCTGCTTATACCCCCTTGAATGATTATTTAATCAACGTACACAGCTACGAGTAATACTTCTTTATGTCCATCTTCCAAGCCACTCCCTTAAGCTCTAGGACTGTATTTCCAACTGTGGCCATGTCTTGGCAGCTCTTGGCAACTTTGGCATGCCTAAAGTTGAACTTCCTCCATTTCCCAAGCCAAAGAGATCCCCAACTCTGGACATTCCTATTTTTGTCTAATTATACCACAAAATTTCCCAGTTAATTCTTCACACAGAAACTATAGAGATCTTTCTACATCACCCTCCTGCTCAAAATGGCTTTTCAAAGTTAGAATAGAATCCAAACTTCCAACTCTGGCTGGGAAACCCTGCATAATTCAGCCTCTGCCTATGTTTCTGATCTCACTTTGTTCTACTTGTCGCCCCAAGCCCATGCTCTCCAGACATAATCTTTAATTTTTATTCCTTGAAGAGACCACCAAATTCTCATCTTGTTTCCACCTGACATTTGTACTTATTCCTTCTACCTGGAATGTTTTCTCTCGATCTTGGTATGGTTTGTTCCTTCTTACAGTTCAGATTTCAGTTTAAATGTCACCTTCTCAGAGAGATTCTCCCTCATCATCCTATCTAAAATAGTTACCTAGTTCCTCCTATCAAATCACCATCTATTAATTATTTGCACAGCACTTCCTATTATCTGACCATTTTCTTTAGTCTATTTTCTGTCTCCACAAGCACAGGAAACTTTGCCCATCTTGTTTATCACTGTATTCCCTATTTCTAACAGGGTGCTTGGAACATAATAGATACTCAATATTACCGAAAGAGCAAAAACAAACTAGCTCTACCTTCAAATTTTTCTGTTCCTTCTTATAGAAAGTTTCTCCCAAGCTAGAAGAGTGATTTTGGAACTCATAGTTCTTCTCCCACTCCATCCCCACAATACCACATCAAACCTGTCACTAAGTCTTCTCTACTCTTCCTTGGTGATGCCTTTCTCATTGATCTCTTCCTTTTTGTACCCACACTCCTATTTTAGTTCAAACACTTACACATCACACTGGGACTCTTTCAAAAGTTTTTTTAAACAGTATGTATGTGCCAACATGCTGGTCCACTGTGAGTTCTATAAACACACCCTAACCTTAGCATGTTTCCATCATCATGTCTCTTTTTATGCCATTCCTCTATTTTGGAAAGTACTTGAATTCACTGACTCCTACTTATAAATCTTTAACCAAAAAGAAACAAAGAAAGGAAGAAATGAAGGAAGAGAAGGAAAATGAAAGAAAAGAAAAAGACAATCCTTTGACTCTAACATGAAGCAGTCCCTGACAGTACCTTCTGGCACTCCATATCTGTTCTGGTATTGCAGTGAGTTCTGTACATATCTTGCTGAGATATAAAGTGCTTATAGTGTTCAGCTCACCAAACTGGTGCTCTCACCAAAAAGCTATTATTAAATGAATAAAATGTCTTCATTCCTCTTTCATACCAAATTCTAACTACTCCATCTTCAAAAGCCTGGTTAGTTCAGGCCTCTCTTTTTCCATAGTTTTCTCAGTCCACTTCAGCCAACAATCAATTCCAACTCTGAGTTCATAGCCTTTTAAAAGGTCATTGGACAATTTCTTATGAACTGCTTTGTAAGTTTTTCTTCTATAGTTATCTTGCAGTTATAATCATTTTTGCATTCATGGAATGTCTCCTCAACCAAAAATATACATTTATCTAGGACAGGGCCCTTGTCTTATAACTATTTTATAATCTTACAAAGTCTAGTAAATGCCTGGTTGGGAAGAAAAGGTAAGAGATTTTAACACTTTGTTACTCTAAGTATTAGACATTATAAACTTAAGGACTGAACCAGAGCAGAGTAGGCTGCCAGAGATGTACAGTGTTCAAAGTAGAGAAAAAAATCATAATTTTTTAAGCTTCCCAAAACTATTTAAACGACATCGATGGAACTAGAGGGTGTTATGCTGAGTGAAATAAGCCAGAGAAAGACAATTATCATATAATCTCACTGATATGTGGAATTTAAGAAACAAGGCAGAGGATCATAGGGGAAGAGAGGAAAAATGAAACAAGACAAAACCAGAGAGGGAGACAAACCATAAGAGACTCTTAATCTTAGGAAACAAACTGAGCGTTGCTGGAGGGGAGGGGAGTAGGGGGATGGCGTAACTGGGTGATGGACATTAAGGAGGGCACCTGATGTAATGAGCACTGGGTATTATATAAGACTGATGAATCACTGACCTCTACCTCTGAAACCAATAATACATTATATGTTAATTGAATTAAAATAAAAATTAAAAAAAATTAATAAACTTTCCAAAACTGACGTACTGAGGGGAGGTGAAGTAAAGCCTGAGAAAGAATTGGCCATGATGTAATCTGCGATCTGCTGTAATGCCAGCAATCCAGTTGGGTTGTGGCCTTTCTTCATCTGTTCTTGAATAAGGCATTCCAGGTCTTCCCGAAAGGCCTGAAACACATAAAAATAACCACTGAGCACATATACCTCACTTGGAGCAGAACGATCCAAACATAACTTTCTCTATAATCAATCTTTTCCCCATCCTTCTTTTAAATAAGCTTTCATCTACACTACTTTAAAACAGATATAAAACAAAATAATAAAGCACTGAAAGCAGCAGCAAGAAGCGCGCTTTCAGGGGAGGGAAAAATCGTTAGGAATTCTTAATCTCAAAGAAAATGAGCTACTATAACATCTACAACAGACAGATATAGATGAAACAACCCTGTTAACAATATGGAACTAGAGTACCAAGTATAGACTGATGGAAACAGAGAGCCATTCCTTGTCTAGCAGCCTCATTATCTAGGTTAGGCTAGAGTCCGTATTTGAACGGGACAAGGCTCTGACTACAGACTGCCTCACAGCAGAAGTCTTCACTAAGACATACTAAGTATATCACGGCTTCCATTTTATGATTTCCACTGCAATCCCCTAGCTCCACAAACACTGAAAGCAAACTGATAAGAGTGGAGAACTGATTATTCCCCTTCTGCAACACTGTGCTAAAGAAAGGACATTTTTCCCCCAACTTTGGGTACTGTATGTTCCTGTTCTCGAATTCTGCTGTATCTTTTCTTTTGCGGGCATATCTACATGTGTCAGAAACTGTTTATATAAATAAGAATTCTGAACATTAAGAGAAATTCTCTATTCTAACCCTTGAGTTGCTAATATGATTCATCATCTGAAACCTCTCAAATTGCTTGAATTGAAATCATTCATTTTTATTTCCATAACACCCGACCAAAACTTATTAAATTCATTATTTGTTCTCTTGCTCAAGCCTTTTTTCATTCATTTTAAACATGAAAGCTCTTGCGATATAAATTCTCTAAACCTTGCTCTTGGTTACATGTGAAGCAGAATGCCTGCCAGAAATTAAGTTCAATTTTTTCCCACTTCACCTAAAAGGGAGAAGGTAGAAAACTGCCTTGGAATCACTACCTCCAAGAAGAGTACATACTAACCCCTTGAAGATCACTGGAATAATCTTCATCAGAGGGTGAATTTCCTTTGAGTCACCAACAGTAGCCTTCCTTGTAAGGCTGGGAATAAGATCTCCTGGAGTCCCTGCTTAGATGTAGCCTTGCTTAGAGGATAGCTGAATAACTCAGAGGTTTTCAGAAAGGACTTCTTAAAAAAAAAAAAAAAAAAAGGCATAGGAACCCCATGGAGGAAAGGAGAAATGTGGTTTGAAGCTATGAGGTTGCAGATATTAAGACCAGTCCTGACTCAATGCTTGTGTTGCTTTCAGAACAATAGTTGAGAGGTATCTGTGATGTGAAGAGCTGAGTGCTAACCGCTGTAATCTTGGGAGCTCAACCATGGAGCACCATGCAACACCCTAACTGAGCTTAGCACAGGAAGAGGGAGGTCATCCTTCCCTAATGCACCATGGCGGCCTGTACAGGCATCTGGGTCAACAATGAATCTGTATCTTCTATTGGACAGAGTAAGAGTAGTTTTCAACGCCAGGGAGGTCCAGTGGCCATGGGCTGTATACACTTTAGCATGACTCACATACGCACATGCAGACATATGTACACACCACATTTTGGATATAGAAGTCACTGATGAACCCTTGTGAACTATGTAAGCCACTGACGTTCTTGGGACAGCTTAGAGGGGAGTAGAAATTCCAAGAGGAAGATGCTGTATTTTCTACTAATACAGCAGGTGGATGTTTGAGTGATTTAAAAAGTACTAGTGACCAGGGGCACCTGGATGGTGCAGTTAGGCATACGACTCTTGGTTTCGGCTCAGGTCGTGACCTTGGGGTTGTGGGATCAAGCTTCATGTTGGGCTGTGCGCTCAGCACAGAGTCCAGTTCAGATTCTCTCTCCCTCGCCCTCTGCCCCTCCCACTTGTGCTCTCTCTCTCTCAAATAAATAAATAAATCTTAAAAAAAAATACTAGTGACTATATTTGAATTCTGAGTTCATGGAACAGTTTATACCAGTTAAACATGGTTTTTCTTTTACAAATTTGAGGCTTGTTAAATTTAAATCATCAGCACAATTATACAAATTCTAAACATCTAATTCCATTGACTGTACCTAGTTCATTTAAATATATGATTTAAACCACAGAAACTATCCTATAAAATATCCCTTACAAAGACACATTACACTGATCAGAAGACTCCATTTCTAAGACTTAGTGAACATAAAGTGGTTGTGAGCTTCATACAGATGAGTAACATGAGTATTTTACCATATTTAAGGCTGAAAGGAAATGAATCTTCTATATATACTCATTTACCTTTATATAAACTATAGAAAACTTCTGGACATTGGAAATGGGCCAGTTGACTCTTCTGAAACTGTATTTTCCCTTCAAAACCAAATCCTGTTTAAACTTTCCTTCAGCTGAAAGCAGCTATAACCAATATTCTTTTATTCAGTAAAATAATAATTAATAATAATACCTACAATGTGTATCACTCATGATTTACACTGCAATAGCTCTGAGAAATGGGCATCGAGTACCCCACCTCACAATGTTCCAGGAAGAATTTAAGACAGATTCCATAGATTAAAATTATACAAAAACAAATATAGGTTAGAAAAATTAAGCTAAGGAAGAAATACGCATAAGGAGATTAGTCAGAGCCAGGAAGGAGGTTAAGATACAAAGTACATGCTATAAAACTGTAGGCATTTGCTAGAGATTGGCCAAATTTTATCTAAACTCTCTAGCAGCCAACATGAATTAAGATAATCTGCTCAGTATGCTGATATACAATGGCTTTAAGATTAAAAACCAACCAGTTGTTCAAGAGAATCACAACTATTTATAAACTGATGAGACACTTCTGCTGGGTGGGATGAGAAAGCTAAATAAGAAAGGTCGAAAAATTTGTCCAAGGCAGTAATTGTCCAAGGCAAAAACTCAGGCCAAATGCTATTTTCATTAGTGAAAATGCTTTTTCCACTTTCATACATCCCACAATATGGTGGGCACCACCCTAAAATTTTGGGATGATCCACAGTGTCATAATGGGAGATATATAAGTCCTCTAAAATCAGTTAAGAGAAAAATATGAATTTCCCCCATAAGGCTAGTGAATAGCTTCTACACAGTATAGGAAAATAATTTTCAAAGTAAATGAAATTTCCCTAGCCTTTTTATACAGTTGTAAGTGCTTCAACAGATAAGAATTCTTCTATAACAAAGGATTTATTATTTTGTCATGAACATTTATAACTCATTAATGTTTCAAATATTTTTGAAATATTATTCAGATAACTACCTAAGTCATAAGACATTATAAAAACTAATGATAAAGAAATTATTTCAGCTGGTTTTAAAAATGTATCTATAAACATAGTAAGCTTTAAAATATTGTATTAAAATAAAAACATACTTATCTTTATGATGACAGTTAATCATATTTCTACTAAAATCCAATGTTAATATAATAATCCTTTATAGCTGATTCATTTGAATCTCACAACAAAGTCCTGAGATAGGCAATGATTTGTTCAAGGTTGCACAGCTAATAAGTAAATGGAGTAAAGGTTGAAATCTGGAACTCTCAGCTGGGCACAGAATCTTTCCCTAATTTTATAGGAGATGCGTTGTATCACAGAAACCAAATACAACTAATAAGGCAGCAGGCACGTTGTGATCAGAAATACAGAGTAAACTTCTTAGGCTAGATTAGAGCATTATGTTGTAATGATGGAGCAAAAAATTTATATAGCGGCAGATGATGATGATCCACAAGTACCAAAGTACTTGCCCTCTTATAGCTGGGACTTCTCCCATCAAAGCAGAATGAAAAACTAATTTATACACAGGGCAGCAAGGTGGGCTTCTAAAATCAGATTAAACCAACAATTCCCTAGACTGTCCACTAGAGGAGTCAGGTTAAAACATCAAACAACATATATATAAAGCCACAGCATAAACCATGTCTTCTCTATCTCTTTGAAACAGAACAGAGGAGGTCGTGGGAGTTTTTACACCTTGAATGCATGAATACATGAACATGAATAAGCCAGACTGCCATCAGGATGATAGATTCTTTGGAGACCTTCAAGAAAACCAAAATATAGTCTAAGGAATTGTGATTATATAATCTTCCAAGTGTTGCCATAAAATGCTTTCACTCAGCAATGCTGTATATAACTCATGCATACAATTTTCACAAAAATACTTGCCTGCTATGTGCTAGTCATTACATGGCTTGCTTTTATGTTATTTAATTGTCACAACAACCCCACAAGGTTCATTTTACCAACGAGGAAACTGAAGCTCAAGTTAAGTGAGTTTCCTATGTCACATAGCTAATGTGTGGTGGTGAACCCAGATCCAAAGCAAGCACCATGTGCATATATGTACATATAAAAACATTCATATAAACAGATTAAAACTGGAAGTGATGAGAAAATGGGCCGACTCCTAACAGGCCAAGATGGTCTGGTACTCCAGGATCTCTATAATCTGTCATATAACATTTTGGCTATATCTACCGTTACTACCTTATGCTCTGGTTTAGCCTATGAGGTTTGCTCATCACTCTCTGATCACAACCTGTACTTTTCTATCCCTGCTCACTCTATTTCACCAAAGGGAAATGCTGGCTTCCTCTGTTCCTCTACCTAATCAGTTCTCAACCTTTATCTAACACTCATCTTAAATGCCACCTTCTTCTTGAAGTCTCTCCTTTAATCACCCAATTAGATGGGATCTCCCAATTTCTTCTCTTTCCATCCTTCTCTAAATTCTTTTAACATTTACCTTTACTACACTTAGGGTACCTGTCATAAGATTGTGATTTACTTTTCCTACTCTACTACACCATGATATTGAATGGTTGGGACTGTGATTTTCACATTGCTAGAGTCTGAGTGTCTAGTTCAATACTCAATTAATAAAATAGTAAATTAGAGTCTTTCTTTTTTTTTTTTTAAAGATTTTATTTATTTATTTGAGAGAGG